CTACCCTTGCCCCTCTTCCTCCAAGAAAACCCTAATTCTCCCCCAATTCTCTGCCAAACCAGTGTTCCGTACGCGCCCGGTTCGTGTTTCTGTCAGGCGGCGGGTCATTACTGCCATAGCCCGAGCTGAATCGAACGGGTTTGGCGGTGACGATTCAAAGGAGGTAACTTTATGGTTTTCCGAACCTTTTGAAATGTTGTTAAAGTCCTTAGAGTGTTTGGGTCGAAGAACATGATGACTAAGAATCACAACGAGTTGATATTGCATGAGAGAGATAGATTGAGACTCAGTTTTAGCTTAATTGGCAATGGGTATGGTGGTTTTAAGGGATGGAAATCAGCTCAATGACGCCAGATTGGTGTAAGGTATCGAGGGTCATTCATTCTTCTGATGCTAATTGGATCGAATTGATAGAGAATTGTGAAGTCGATGCACATGTGTTGCGGGATTTCAATATAGAGCAATTTCTCGTGAATATTAAGAGGTCATTGTCGGTCAATTGGTGGTTATGTTCAATTAGCTGCTTCGACCATTCGCTCGCATTACAAGTGGTGTTGCTGGAATGGTTATCTTTTAGTAAGTCATATTTGGCCTCGGCATCGGACTATTGGCCGGAGGTGTTGTACTGGCTGGAGGATGGGTTTTTCACACTAGCATTAGCAGCGGCTGTTTTTGTAGGTACCCGGGAGTATTTTGAGCTCGTTAGAAGTCGGGGAATTGCTGCAGGAACAACACCTCCTCCGCATTTTGATATAATCATGAAGAATCAGCGAGCAAATTTTGTGCTGCCCCTATTGATACTAGCAAATGTGATAGTAACAGAAAACTCAAAACCTCGAGGGATGTCTGCCGAAGCAACGCAGCAACAAGTCTCCTGTTAACTCCATCCAGGTGTGTGTGTGCCTCTATATATATATATATGCTGCAAAAATATTTCGTGATATATAGATTGTGTTTTGTAAATTAAGCAGATTCCGGATGGAGATATCATCGACTGTGTCCCTATCACCGGGCAACTGGCATTCGATGATCCTCTCCTTAGAAACCACACAATCCAGGTCTTCTCTGCACAGTTTCATATATCTATTTTAAATATCCACACCTTTTCTATTCTGTTTTTGCTAATATACATTCGATCGGTGATAAACATTGTGAATAGATGAGGCCTAGTTCCGACATAGAAGGTCTTTTCAGACGGGATGATTTGTATCTGGACAATGGCATGGTCCCGGGAGGTATAACTCAACTTTGACGTATGAATGGGGAATGTCCTAAAACCACCATTCCGATCAAAAGGCCATCAAAAGAAGACCTGTTAACAGCCGAGAAGTATGGGAAAGGGTATCAAGACAATACCCTACACCACGAGGTACACTTTCCGAAAAGAGACATGCTATGGTATTTTCCATCGTATGTCGCTTTGCGTTTTTTTTCTAACACCTTGGAGATATGTCAGTACGCTATTGTCTATACCGAGGAAGGAAGGTATAACGGGGCAAGAGTGGGACTGAGTGTATGGAAACCCAGGGTCCAAGAGGAAGAGTTTAGCGTGTCTCAGATTCGGGTTTGGAGTGGAGTTCGTGGTTCGAATTTGAATACTTTGGAAGTTGGTTGGCAGGTACTTCTTAGTTTCTCTGTCTTTTCTACTTCTGAAACTCAATTCTCGCTTCTCATCATGAATTCGATGGCAGGTTTACAAAGGTAAATACAAAGATGACAACCCAAGATTATTCACCCACTGGACGGTACGTATAGTTCTTGATCTGTTTTTTTTTGTTCTTTCCGTTGTCTCCATTTAAAGAAGTTGTATTAACACGTTGTGTAAACACAAAATAGAGGGATTTGTGCAAAGACACGGGCTGCTACAATCTCGACTGCCCAGGCTTCATTCAGACCAACAGTGCATTTGCCCTTGGCGCGTCTATCCAACCCGTGTCAACCTATGGTGGTTCTCAATACGGGATGAGGTTGCTTATCGCCAAGGTAAAGCTCGGACATTATCTAGTTTCCTTGTTGTCCAAGAAATACCTTATGTTGATCACAACCATACTTTGATACATATATGTTAGGATCCAAGAACAGGAGACTGATGGTTAGCGGTTGATGGAACCGTTATCGGTTATTGGCCGAGTTCTATAGTCCCAAACGGTGCAACGCATGTTTCTTGGGGAGGCGAAATTGCAAACAGAAACGCCAACGGGAAACACACCGCTACGGAAATGGGGAGTAGACGCTTTGCAGATGAAGAGTTTGGAAAGGCAAGCTATTTCCGGAACATAAGCGTAGTCGATGCATCGAACGTTATAAGAGATCCGGGAGTGCTGAAGACCGCCGTCACTCTGCCAAATTGTTACAACGTGAAGATCTTGTCGAGCGAGATTTGGAGAACTCACTTTTTCTACGGTGGTCCTGGCCAAAACCCGATAGGAAGGATGACATGTGGTGTTCTGATGTGATGATGTGATGTATAACGAAGGCCAAATGGTGTGCTGATGTGATGTATAGACACCCATACATATACACACGCACGATCGAAAAGTTAAGTACATTCTAGGGGGGGGGGGGCGGTAAAATTAACATTCTTTATGAAATTTGACGCGCACGTTAAATACTGAGGAAAATCGTATACATTAAAAAGCTAATTAAGATGGATGATGACCAGAATAAGTTTATTATCATAAGAATGAAATTTCAATTGTGATATATACTCAGCAAGGGTGTGCGTTTGGTGTTTGATTTAGATTGTGTGTTCTAGAACTTACGAATTAAAAAAAAATATATAACTATAACGGAGTTTCTCTCAGTTTTTATTATGTAATTAACGGAATGAAATATATATGTGTGTTTGATGAACGCTAAAATTTCAATACGAAAAAAAGTTGTGAAAAATTAAGAAACGTAATTATGAGATCACGCCCTCAACCACAATTTGAATATTTAGATAGAAAAATAAATACAGTTTACGTGCATTTATATGCATGCTTCTCATCTTCGTCAAACGCATCGCAAAATGAAGTTCGTCGTCGTCATCCTCCTCCTCATCATCCAACTCCTCATCCGCAACAGCCTTTAGGGGAAGACTCGTCTATATATATATTTTCGTACCGTTCCCACGAAGAAATAATTCGTATTCAAACTGTTCCTATATAGTTCTCATACCTTCTGATCCCGAATACAAAATTAATTATATATTATGTTCACTATATATCAACTTGAGTTTGAATCAGCGGTTGAGATTTTATATGGAATATCATATTTGATTGGTATGTAGGATAGATGAAAACAAACTTTTTAATAATTAATAAATGTTATAAAAATCAAATTAACTAACTACATCAACGTGAAATATATTTAATATTTGATTTAAAAAACTAAGTTGTTGAGATGCACAATTTCTATTATTCCATTTTTCTCGGGTTTCTATCTGGGCTTCGATATCGGCCCATTCGGTATTTGGTATATATATTTTAAATACATGCTCGAACCAAGAAGCAACCCATCATCACGTTCAAAATGAAGAAAAAATATAGCTATGCAACATGTGTGGTCGTGGAAATATTTTAAATAGTGTGTATATATATATATATATATATATATATATATATATATATGATTTGGTGATATTTTGATCGGTACTTAACGACAACTAGAAATAAGTTTTTTTCCCCATCTTTTTTTTATACTTTTTTTTTGGTTGAATGTGATTGTATTAATACAAAAAAAAACAAACTACATCAGTTTATAAAAACATAAAATAAATTTATAAAAACTCGGATTCCCATACGCAAATGGTAAAAGATCTCAATAAACATTTTTTTTATACTTAATAAAAGTTCTAACACGAGATAAATGTTACCGCGACCCGACCCATTGTTAAAATTCCAAACGTTGACATTGTAATGCATGTAAAAAAATCTTTGAACTTTAACGAATTATAGACCAATGGAAAAAAAAAACCCAAGCATTGGTATTGAGAATATGAAAGGTGTAAGGGAGCTCTTCGAGAAGAGTGAAGAATTGAAAGATATCACGTGATGCGTCGCCGCGTTTGTACGGAGAAAGAATGTGAGATGGATCTATCTATCATATGAATTCTCGGTGGGTCCAAAAATGGGCCTCCTTAGCTCTAACACTGAGTCGTATACATATATATACACACACATATATATATATATATATATTTCTGCATGTAAAAAAATCTTTGAGAATATGAAAGTCGCGTTGGGTACGTGGTATTTCGGGTATATTGTTAAGGTCTGAGGGGTATTTTGGGAAATACATGAAAGAGGAGGAGATTGCAGAAACGGGGCAAGGCTCGCATGTTACATTGTCGCTTCTTCACCACTCCATGCATACGCTTTAATTAGGCCTCTTTTATGAATAGATTTACTGTTACACCTTTTTTTTTTCCGTTTCCATAACGAATTAAATAAATAGTTTCTCGAATTTGTATTAAGTAAAATCTTAGCTTAAATCCGTAGCTCTCCTTGTAGTCTCTCTACTACTTAGTCTCTTATTCTGCTTCTACTTTTCTTCCTTCTCCTCTGTTTTAGGGTTCGTCTTTTGGAGATGGAGAGGTACAAAAGTAGGCTGCGTTTCAATGGAAGAGCTTTGGGCGGTCACGTGAGATCTCACGTGTTCGGTCTTTCTGCGAAACGAGAGAGATGCGGTGTCGAGGAAGATGATGGTGAGGAGGAGGAGAAACGGCCGAGTCCACTCGGTGATGAGACAGAGTCGGGTGAGTTGCTTCCGTCTTCATCGGCTTTTTCTTCTTCGTCTTCTTCTGACGAAGAGGAAGAAGATGATGTCGCCGTCGTCGATGATCATGGCTCCATAGCCTCCGTTCTTCTTCAAACCGGTGAAAGCGAAACCGACTCCTCCAGGATTAAACTGACCCGGAGACGATCCAAACGTAACCAGAAACTCGGAGAGTTAGATGCTGACAAAGCCAAGAAGCTGAAAACGAGTCAACTCGGTTTCAGGTCGACCGTTCCGGTTCCGGAGCCTCTCAGCTCGGCTTCGGACACGGCATCGACGGAGGAAGATCTCGCCTTTTGCCTCGTGATGCTATCAAGGGATAAGTGGAAAAAGGAGAGCAAACCCAAAGAAGTACAAGAGGACGATCAAGATGATGATAACGACAACGGAGAAGAAGAAGACAGAACCAGCAAGAACAGAGCAAGAGGCGAATACAAGTGCGAGACTTGCGGCAGAGTGTTCAAATCGTATCAGGCGCTGGGCGGACACAGGGCAAGCCACAAGAAGAACAGGGTGTGCAGAACAGATCAGCATCAATGGCGAGGAACAGGGTACGAGGTTGGAAATGCGGTAGCAGAGAAGAAAATCCACGAGTGTACGATCTGTCTCAGGGT